ATCTGCATCTTCGTCAGCCATCTACGCATATCAAATCAATCGTGATATTAAGAGGAAACACTTATTTGCCGAATCAAATGAGCTTTGTAAACAACGTAGTGGGGAAGCAGTTATGTTACTATCAAGAAAGGGAAACTTTATGATAAAAAATCGAAATCATCACACATTACGTACAGCCTGTTTATAAAACACCATTGCTGGTAAAATTGTCAGTAAAGGTCGAGATAAGCGACTGATGTAGCGATGTGTTTAGTCTTTTATATTTCAAGTTCAGGAGGATATACGTTCATGTAGGCAGATACAGGGGGGATGCAGCCGACATCCCCTAGCCCTCTTAAAATTTGACTTGTGACCAATCCAATATTGAGTCTAAAAGCTAGATGGTCTTCGCAGGTTGCAGTCATAACTTCAACAAAAATTGGATCCCCTCTTTCCAATCTGCTAATAATATATAAATACAATATATATGTACAATAAATACCAATATGATAACAACTGTCTGCTGAAAAAGCTTGCACGCAAACCCATCAAAGATATTGTAAACTAGAAACTTAATCATTTCGACGTATTTATCCTCATTATATTTCATCCTTGCCTTTGCCACTGTTTCCCAAAATATCCTCATAACAAGGGAACGAATGCGATTCCTCAAATCTGTATTAATTATGGTAGTGTGTTTGATTTAATATTGGTAAGAATGGGTAAGGTGTTTTGATAATGGTTTGTTGCATTTCCATTCTGCATTCAAAACCTCTTATTCTTTGTAGAAGGACTGACTTGGTAAATTTAACTCACTCTGAAAATATATCTAATTCACATTGATCTCGTTTAGTCCATTGTCTAGCACATTCCCTAACAAAGTCTATCTATTAAACTTAATCACATCCCAGCTAATATTAAGAATCCATCAATACTTTGGGCTCTTCACGTGGCGTAAATTATTAAAAATGTTTAGATCGCCATTTACTACTAGTCCACCTGGACCACAGTTGTGTATATGTAACAAGAACATGCTGAAGAAGGATTTATTCTAAAGTTTAAGATGCTGAAGAAACTGTTTATAGTAGAAAAGCATGAAAGCGATTGGTGTTAAATATCGCACCAAACAATCGGGGTACTTCTGCATCTGAAGCATGCTGGTATGTTTTTTAAGACAAACTATTTGTCTCTGACAGAAATAAAGCTAATGGCAAGCCATCCCCTCGCTTGCAAAATCATCTTTTGAATATTACGACCTGGGCCCGTATTCATGAAACCGTTCTAATGCTCGAGCATACTTTTTGTGTTCAAGCTGAAAATCTTATTCTGGCTATAAATTGATAAACAAATATTATTTTGTCGAATGATTTGGAAAAAAAAGTTAAAGAGACTAAAACTAAAAATCAAAGAACTGTGTTCAGTGTTTAAATTTGACCTTTTGATCGTTTGACATGATTAAAGCGAAATACAAGAAAGTTGGTTTGAGCACAGAATCCATGCTTGAGCATGAGAACAGTTTCATGAATACGGGCCCTGATCCTCCATACAAGGAGACTTCATGAGTCGAATTTGTGCCACCTCAACAAAACAATATAAAGTCTCCAAGCTAGTTTCCATCAGGAACAGCATAAGTAGAATCTTCAAACGTAGTATTGTATTCGGTTGGTCTGATGATGCCCATGACCGCGCTTAGATTTGTTTTTTTTTTATATCTGGAGCCTGTCTGTTAGCTTTGTCGGACTTATTGTCAAAGAAATCACTGACATTGATGAAATCTCATTTTTAAAATCGAGTTAATAGATGACCTTACCTATCCATTCGGGATGACTTAGAAAGTCAAATTTGATTCACATCATCTGAAATAATGAAGACCCTAAGCTAATTCCCACGATCCCTATGTTTATTGTGACTATAATTACGATTTCACTTATGAATTGTTTAGCATTCCTTGTGTTTTCAAGAAGAAAAAAATCAATACCATATTTGATTCCCTCGGTAGTTTTGTAACATAAAAAGCAATAATGTCATACAGATAAAGACGATGTGAATCGACATCATGTTCAACTATGATTTAAATGTAGGTCACTGTGAACTGGACAGTTATTTATCTTCTTTGATATTTCATGACGTGTCCTTCAACGCTTACTCTTCAATAGCACAATTTTTTGCTTTTGGTATCTTTGTAGGAATATGGAGAGTCATGATTAACGTCCCAGGTGTGTCTCTTGTTGCAGTTGGTTAAGTTGTATTACACGTGTGCAAAAACCCTATTTATGACGTAACCGTATGACAAAGTAAAATAGGTCAGTTATGTGATAACATTATTTAGTGTTCTTGCAGAGCGATATTTTGTTTTCTCTCGATAAATCATGTTTCCCTACCACAGGACCACTAAATGGATAATAATGTTAGAAGGGTTGTCTGTCCATGCATCCATCTGTCCGTCTGTCTGTAGGCAAAATGAATATGGATAGGAACATAAATTGGAGGTATCTCTCGAATTAATGGAAGTTTGCTCCTTTGTTTAAAAATATGGTTGGCACTTCTTCGATAAACACTACACCAATTTCAATGATTCTTGGTACATTTAATGTTTACTTAGAGGAGAAATGAACATTGAGAATATAAAATGGAGTTAGCTGCCAAATTTATGGAATTTCATCCTTTTGTTGCCATTCATTGATTGGACTACTCATTCTTAAGTAATGCACCGATTTGATTGAGTTTTATTACACAGAACCCTTACAACCTATCACAATTGACGTATACCACCCTATTTTTAGGGTTAAGCCCGCTTGTTGTAAAAGTGTTCTCGAAAGAAAATTTCCTATATTTCTTGCAGCAAGCTTCTGCCATCGCGACAATTTTAGGCATGCTACATGCATGGGGACTAAGTGTCTCTTGATCATGACATGTGCATGGGAATGGTAGAGACAGCTAACCATATACGTGTTTGTAACTGCTGGTCATGAAAATATGGATACAAATAGGTTACGACACGTACTTTCAGGGTTCAGTCCCGCCCCTAAGCCTTAGTCCAGGTTAACACAATTAAAATACATGTATTTGAGGTGCCAACCATACAACCAAACATGTGCTTGCTTGGCATAAAGAAACAAACACAGTCATGGATATACTCTTTGATCTAGCCCCATCATTAGATATGTATTTGCCGATAATGCAACTGTATTATCACGATTGCCTAAATATCAAATGGGTCTTCTTTTTCTTAACAAGAAGGCATTAAAGGAGAAGACATCTTTCTGACAAACTGGATGATCACTGCAATGTAAGCACGCAATAGTGATGACGAAGGATGCAAAAAGCTGAGCAACACTAAATGCGGACGTTCTATAATGTGTCTCTGTCCTGTAAAGGCTAAAGCTTGCAACAAATGATCACTTTGACGTGTAGACAAATATTTCAACAATGATTATAAATATATGGTTACGTGATGGCAATATCACAAAACTAACAAGGGAAGACACCAGCCTGCCTGCCTGCTGCCTGCCTACCTGCCTGCCTACCTGCCCGTATGTTTCATTTTATAATAAATTAAATTATTGTTGCAGCCAAAGGATAATATTATATATATATAGTTTTTCGGTTAGCTCGTAATATATATATATGATATGCAATTAAGAGACGATAACGGTAAAGGCTATTCTGATTAATAGAGTGATAAAGACATAGTGATGAAGAGAGGACGCTATGCTTATTTATCCTCCTTACTTAAGTAACATTCTTTTGAGTTAAGCATTGACATTTTATTGAACTTCTGTCTCTAGCTGATTCCGTGGCTGTCACAATTGACTCAAAGCTTGTAACCCATAGAGAGGACAATATAAAGTATTAATACCAAATGTAGATATTGAACTAATGTGAAACCAGCGTCTCCACCACATACTGTATTCCTCGAAAGCCACAAACTTCAACTTGCAAAACAAAATTGATATCACCAAAACAGCATTTTTTTTGCTTAATTTCAGGATCAAATATTGAGTTTTGTGACGCAAAGTCACTTGTATCTCAGGCATATCATATTAAAATATCCTTACAAAACGTAATCATAAATCGTTAATATTTAAGATCAGATTAGATGGCTGATTAAGCTGACTGTACTTGATATGAACGTGCCCAGGTGTCAATATCTGTGTAACTCGTGGGATGCCTGGAGTAATCAATGCAATAACTTCTCCTGTCAACCATGAAATATATATACCGATAACCTTTTCTGTTCCAGCAAGCAGGACAGGCCGTGTCCTGAAGGCACGCCCTGTGTGACAGCCGCATGGGGAATTGTGTGGATTTTTAATGAATACCATATATAAATATATTGTCAAATACAAGCGTATTTATCAAAACCATTACCGTATTTCGTTATGTACAATAATCATAACTGTTACAATAAGTGTCGTGTGTTTAACTTATTCTCATCCATGGCATACAACTGATACATTGAATATGGAGATATTCCTAGTTGAGTTAGTGTCCCTTAGCACCCATTGTATTCTATAACTCTGGTAGTTATTTAGTGAGATTGATGTTTACGACACTTATGCCGACTAAACAATAGACGTATAGCACTCAGGAGACATATTTGCATTAAGTGTTTCATACAAATAAGAAAATTATGTCAGAATTGTGACAATAGTAAGTACATATGTAATTATATGTTGGTAATATATTAGAAGACAATAAATGTAAAACATAGTATGAAGTTAGATTGTAAATTGAATTCATACGATTTGCCTCATCCTGAATAAATAATTTCAACAATTTACGTTTCAACAGTTTAATACAGATAAAATGTGTAATAAATAATGACTTTAAAGAATGCAGCACAATCACAATTCAGGTATAATTGTCACATGAATCGTAAAGAAAATTTGCATCATGAATTTCCCAGGTATAACCCATGAAAGTGTACGAAGTACGTGTCAATGGAGGAATAAGAATATATCGACCAATGACAAGCGACAAGGAACTACATCCAGAGCGTGTCTGAACCTGGAGCCACAGCCAGTACCAAGCCCTACATACATGTGCGCTCCGGTGACAGCCTTATCTCAGACGTCTCTAGTGGCAGGACCGAGGCAACTGGAGCAGAATTATTAGTGCCGTGTGGTGTTAAACTCGGGTTATCGGGAAGACGTAGCCGACAGGCTCTGAGACAGAAGATTTAGGTTTGAGACAAGCAGTCAGTGTAAATCTAGGGTTCAGTGAAATTAACATAAAGACCATTTTCCCAACATTTCTGAACTTTAAACAGGATAAGTGCATGCAGTTTGGTGAAATCAGTTTCTTTCAAGCATCGAGTGCATCTATAAACGACCTTTCACAAACGCATTACCATCGATAAACCATCCAACATGTCAATACTGTTTCAAAAACGAAAGGCACCAGCAGGGAGGCGAGTGGTTGTCAGGTTTGTATTTTATAGCGTACTTGTAAAGGAGAGTGCTACCGCGCTCAAATTTGTATTTGTAAGACAAACGTTGATGTCGTGCTAAATTATGTTTTTAATCATTGTGTGGTGCTAGGGTTTTTATAATGTATAAGCAGAACAAAATTGATGCTGTTCATAGACTCTTTTTTTAAATGTATATGCATAAAAACTTGATTGTCGTGCTAAGGTTTGTATTATTATAATGTATGTGCAGCACAGAGTTGATGTGATACTCATTATATGATAAAAATGTATTTATAGAAAATGTTCGCCGGATAATTGTGATTATCAGGAACACATCGACGATATGGACGATATTTCTTTATTACTAGCAGGTAAATCACTAAATATGTAGTTTAACACAAATTTAAACATAATATTTGAGATTTGTATCATGCTCGATAAATATTTATTAATCACCTAGCATTATAGCATCCTAAAGGAGAAGGGCCTAGATACGTTACCACTGTTTTCCTGATACTTTTTTGTCTTATTTCTGCCAAGGGGCTTACTATTATTATCATACAAGAGATCAAGTGCTTTGTGACTGATGTGTGTCATTTTAACTCATCTGTTTGATTAAGCTAATAATAACGTCAGCGTCATCTTTTAAAAGGTGTCTCCCACAATCACGACAATTGGATAAACCTGCAAGGAGGTAGTAAATATTTTGGATACCCACTAGTGCTTTACACCCTTGATGTGTTTTTATGGGCCTTTTTTAACTGTGGCGTCAAGTAACAATGTCTTGCGAGGTCATCTTAAATAGTGACGTTTTGATTCAAGACTTTTGTTTTTTCAATCAGAATCAGACATAATTATTTTCAAAAGGAAACGTGGTTTTCCAAAAAATAGACAGAGAAAAAAAACGAACTTAATGGGAGAACAGTATGGTCAAGAAAACTATCACGGCTGCTTATCATGTTAAATACGACACTCGTTAGTTAAGTTTTTTAATTGTAAAAGACACTTAGTCAACATCCCGTCTTTATACGAAATGAGTATAAACTTACTGTATCGAGATGAACATGATAACCAACCATCCCTCGTTGGGGAACCTATATGTATAAGATATGATACGGAAAATGGCAATTGGCTATCAACATATAATGGCCTAATGTGTGATAGATACATAGACAATATTTCTTAGTTGATCCTTTTAATAATCATGAATACCAAGTCGTGCGTACGTTTATGTAGAATGGAGAGATATTGTTTGGGCATGGTTGTTCATTATATTTTAATCATTATCAGGCTCTAAATTACTCGTGAATTCTTAAATGCGAGATGGATAATTTATTATCATGTTATTTGATACGCTTTTTCCTGTGTATATTACTCTTATTACATTTGTTAAATTTGCTTAACACGTGTATGCCCTTTACTTATTATAGATTATCAAGCATTGCCCATAAATCTGCGTAGAATACAGAGTAATATTCAGTTAATACATTTAATTGTCAACCGTCTGTTATATATTCACTCAACATGTCACGCCTTGTGCGTAGCGTCCATAGAAAAAAACGGGCTGACACATAAAAAAAACTCTGTGTACAATATGTCAAAATCGTAGCCACTAAACAATAAAAAAAATGACATCTTGTCATCAAGAAAATATCATAATTTTATTTAATTATTAACGAAATACTAATAATACTATGACCCCCTTTCCAGCGTGTCTAATATGTCATGTTCGTGTATTTCCTCCGTTACTTCTGCTGTAATGTCGGACAAACCTACCTACTTACCCACTGAACACAATAAATGTGAGCATGGAAAACTGACAGCAAACATGTTATAAGGATGGCCAAATAAATATACATTGATTCTATTAAGTTACGTTAGACTTTTATATTGCCAGGTCAAATGGTGAGAAAATGAGAAAGCTGAATTTCGCATGGCTGAAACAAAACGACTGAATGAGCCATAAGTTATTATATATACTTGTATAAGCTTTCTGTGCACTTAAAATATTTCATTAAATAATCGTCTCGGATGACAATTTCAATGTTTAAAAACTCATAGATAGATCCAAAGTTCTGCAATAGGGAAAACAGGCCAATTTCGGTTTATTCAATGTTAACTTAATAGAAGACACAGGAGGAAATCCCCGATACAGGAGACTTTAGTCCGTATTTTCATGCTCAAGTAAGGATTTCTGGCTCAAACCAACCTTCTTGTAACTGCATGCTTGAATCATGTGACAGGGTCAGAGAGTAAGGTTTGAACATTTAAAACAATGAAGTTTGAAGTCTCTCTCAAAATTATCCAAAAATGTTGACAAAATGTTTGTTTTATTAATGACTCGAACAAGTGAATAGACATGAGCACAGAATTTCAGTTTAAGCATGAGAATGGTTTCACAAAAAAGGGCCAAGGTTAGCTGCCTATTACGATAACAAGTAGTAGAAGACAACAGGTAAAACGTGTTCCCTGAACCTGCAAAAGACTGGTCACTCTGTGGACGTCACACTTCTTTTTCTCAATCGCAGCTATAAAGAGTTTGAGGATTGACTTTTCAATCTAACATGAAAAACATTGTGTATTTCCTTTATGTATATAATGTGTAAGAAGCGATGATAAGTGATTTAAAACTTTACAGATTTCATGCCAGTGCCTATAACATCCAAAGTTTGTGTAGGATACATTTGCTATACAATTATGTTCGTGAAAAGGCCGATTTAGAAAGTCGGGCGGAGTTGCTTTTTACGTAATGGTGCTCCATTTAATTTCTCATCTACTGGTCAGGTGTGGGAGATTTTTTATATTTATTTTGTATTATATTGTGCTGTTTGCGTTTCTTAAGTTCGAATGTTTCTGGAAATATTCATTCGTTTATTGACATTGTTTTCATTACAGATTTCTTTTATATATGGTTTTAATTCAGGTACAGTTAAATGTTAATACAACATTAACATTTTTTATTCTCTAAAACAGAAAATATTTCACACTGTTCAAATGTAAGATTGAAATTTGAGATCCAAACTTATTGACTGCAAAACCTATGAGGAATAAAGAGCACAGCAGGATGAATACCTTGACAAATGAAGTCACTTCATTCCAGAAAACCCCCTATGGTTGTTTAATCATCTCATATATAAGGAAAAACTCTCCAGATAAAAACAGCTCTGAGTGGAACTATTATTGGCAATTATAAACTGGCTAAGTGGTTACCTTTACCTGAAGCGCCTCAATTTAGAAAAAATAAAAGTGATCTTCGACTGCATCATGATTAATTAATATTTTGACCAAATACGATAACATGTCAATTACTAAATAGTTATGATAAAAAAATATATGAGCACTTAAACATTGAACTGCTTTCAGTTGTTATTCAAAGGCAATATAAATGCAAACTTGACAAACGCAAAGTGAATACAGCGCGGTAGTGCGTCATGTTACTTTACCTGTCTAGTTAGCATTATGTCCGGTATTACTGCCATCCTCGGGTAGTTCAATACTGGAATTTGGAATAAATTAATTTCATAGAAATTGGATGAACTAATCAAAACTCAGCATCCAGTTCAAACTATGTATTGTATGTGTTGTATGTATTGTATGTATTGTATGTATTGTGTGTATTGTATGTATTGTATGTATTGTATGTATTGTGTGTATTGTATGTATTGTATGTATTGTATGTATTGTACGTGTTTTATGTATTGTATGTATTGTATGTATTGTATGTATTGTACGTGTTGTATGTATTTATGTATCGTATGTATTGTGTGTATTGTATGTATTATATGTGTTGTATGTATTGTATGTGTTGTATGTATTTTATGTATTGTAACTATTGTATTATTGTATGTGTTGTATGTATTGTATGTATTGTATGTGTTGTATGTGTTGTATGCATTGTATATGTTGTATGTATTGTATGTGTTGTATGTGTTGTATGTATTGTATGCATTGTATTATTGTATGTGTTGTATGTATTGTATGTGTTGTATGTGTTGTATGTATCATATGTGTTGTATGTGTTGTATTATTGTATGTGTTGTATGTATTGTATGTGTTGTATTATTGTATGTGTTGTATGTATCTAATACCACTCAGAGTTCCTTCCCTTTGTTTTACTTGGAGTGTTCTACCTTCTATAAAGAAGATGAAGCAAGCAAAAAGAGTTACCTAGCTAAAAGCAACTTCATCTGTCAAGTTTGTTCATATGTTTTGCGGTTCATAAGTTAATCACTCGTTGTTAAGCTGTGCTTATATAATTCCTGTGTGTGAACATTGGTAGTGTAGGCGTTGCAATGTTTAGGTCCATACCTTGATCCCTGCAGTTTTCGTGTTTGACTTTTTTATTTACATTTTCAAACATTCAAAAAATCTTGAGAACACCAAAGTGCAAACAAAATCATTCAAATTGCGAACAACTATAATTTTGCAAAATGCATGATAATTATGGAATACTTGTTTTGAAAAGTACTTCAACGGATATTTCACAAACACAAAGTATGTATAATTTTACCTTGACTTATTGACATTTTAATGTTGCAGAATATTTCGTTGTTTACATTTTTGATAGGAGATAAATAAAATAAAACTGTATCCGTAATTAATTATTTATCTGCGATACCTTTTAACAAAACAGACACAGGCAATCCTCAATGCCGCTAATGTAGCACTTCCAGCAACCTGACTGATACCTGCATAGTGAGTAATGATAATCAGCTTTACCATTGATTGATATTGGAAGATATAATTATGCTGTGTCCTTGCCTGATCTATTCCAAGTTAAAGGTATCGACCTGTAATGTTGACCTGACACATTACCTGCCATCAATATTCTCATTCAACTAGTTTATGTAATAAGTCATGTTTGCTCTGAAATTAAATCACTGACGTTTTTTATATCGATATTTTAACCATTCCATTGTGTTTGCTTTTCCATCGATCACTTAAAAACGCAAAGCCTTTACGTGACCCCTTATATAAACAAGATCAAAGAAAGTTAAAATAAACAATATTGACAA